AAACTTTGGTTCATACACACAATGAAATATAATGCTACCTTGAAGAGGAGCAGGAAGCTGCAAGCCACCACATAACATGGATAAACCTTGAGGACATTAAGCTGAGTGAAATTAGTCTCAATAGGACAAATACTGCAAAAGACCATTATTGTGAAAGCTTAAGAAAGGATACCCATAGTAAAAGGGGAAAAAATTCTTTTTGTTGGTTATTGGTGGGGTTAGGGTGGGATGGGGGGCTTGGGAGTGGAAGGAGGGGAGATGGTAGAGCACAGGGTACATGGTAGATACATCATAATTTGGGTGTTGGGGAGGACAATATACAAGAAGGGGAGGGGATTCCCACAAGGTACATAGGGGAACAATGAGACAGGTTTGCATGGGATAAATGGGACAGAGGTAAATAGTGATGTATGCTCAGTCTAAAGAGGGAAAATAATGTTAAGATGCCTGACTGTCTTACAGATACTGGTTTCCCTTGCCTACTATTGTAAAATAGACACTTGAGTGGGAAACATGATTACAATTTGTAAGCTCGTCTTCAGCTTATAACTGATTAGAATACCTAAAAGGAGTTCCAGACCTTGCCCAGTGAAATAGGCTTCTTGAGGAACCTTTGTAGTGTATAGTACCTTAGATGGAATCCTGAGTCCCATCCAGAACCTTCTGAGGTGGGACATTCCCACTAGAAAAGACAAGCAGATCAGCCTGGAACAGCTCGAGGAACAGAAGAAATATTTTAAACAAAGACCAGCAGGAGAAGTCAAAACAAAATTGACAGTATGATTGTTTACTAAAAGAACAAGCAAGCTGTTTGCTGGGGAGCCATCAAGGCAAGCAACCAAGTCCCTTTGGGACAAATGCCCCTCCAAGACTAAAACTCAAAGGGAACACATTAGCAGACATGTAAGCTTGCTGGTGACCACACTGGTCTACTGATGAGTGGAAGACAGGGAAAGGCAGCAATGAAGTAATGGGTTGATTTCAGCCGTGTTCCATAGCCTCCTCTTGACCTGGAGATGAGAGAGAGAAGTGGAAAGACTAGTTGGTCCAACGTGGGGTGAGACCTGAGGACTCCCACGCCATGGAGGGCTAGAGCCAAGAGTGAAGCATTGAGCTGATATGAAGTGAGGGGAGAAGCAAAAGAATGCCCAAACTTTCAGAGTATACCCATTTATCCTAGCTTCGGTGGCTTGATAATCAACACTCTACTAGAGGAAGATAAAAATTTTTGATACAGGAAACAAGTGTAAATTGCTACAATTTGATGAACTTGACCTATACTTATGGATATAGTAGCTCAAAATACCAACTTAGAGGGACGGAGTCTTCAAATCAAGGATTCATACTATCCCCTTTGTGCATAGGGTTTTTAGGGATGGGCAACTTAGACATTGGCTAACTAAAATGAGGGGTAGCTATAAAGGCACAAAGTGACTGGCTTACAAGTTTTCAAGAGGTAGGTAATTTTCAAAGTGTGTGGGGGGGGACAGGGGGCGAAGGTTGAATCCCCACTAAATAGTTTTCATCTCAAGACAGGTCAGGTGAAAGGAGATGGGGATAAGATTCTTATGATTCAATAGTGAGTTAACTGTTATCATGATGAATTTCAGTTGTCATGACTGTACAGTTATAAGTTTTGTAACAAATATGGGGGAGTAGTTAATCTTACATTCCAGGAACAGAGGACCCTAGGACCATCAAGGGAGAAAAGCATGAGCAGAATGTGGGACCCTATCCAGAGAAGCAGTGACACCAGAGATGGAGATAGAGCAGCTAAGGACTCTTAAACTCATGGAAAGAGAAAGGCTGTCCTGGCCACCAACAGGCAAGTTTGCAGAATATGCCCTTTGGTTGTTTAAGTAATTATATATTCCTGATTGTTTTTGGTACATCAGAAAAAACCAGAGGGAATAAAAGCAAATACTATTGATGATGCATGGAGGGGATTTTAAAATGACGTGTGTAAAACCGATGTTCTCCCATATAAACTATCAGTTAATTCACAATAAAAACTTAAAAAAAAAATGTGTCAACTTGGCAAGGCCACAATTATGGTGGGATGCAACACCCTTGTTCAGGTCACAGCCTTGATCCAGTGTAAGGGAAGTTTTCCTGGGGTATGGCCGGCATCACTTTTTATCTTACAAGAGAAAAAAGAGAAGTAAGCAAAGAGAGATACCTATTACGGCCAAGAAATAAGAGTAGAGACTGGTGTTCATCCTTTGGATTAGGCATCCCTGTGCTGAAAACCTCCTAGAACCAGGAGACAGAGAAAGCCTTCCCTTAGAGCCAATACACTGATTTTGGACTACTAGTTATGTGCCACCAAATCGGTTCTGATTCATAGCAATCCTTTACAGGGTTTCTGAGGAGTGACTCGTGGTTTGAATAGGCAATATAGTGGTTATCAGTCTAACTGCAAGGTTTGGAGTCCTGGTATATTTTAGGATAAACAATGGACTGCTAACCACAAGATTGTCAGTTCAAACCCACCAACCACTCCTCAAAACCCTATGCAGTGTTGCTATGAGTCGGAACTCACTGGGCGGCACTTAATGATTTGAACTTCTAGCCACCTAAAATATGAGAAAATAAATTTGTTTACGGTTCACCCATTTACATCCACTACTTAGCCCTGAAAGACTCTAAATTTGTGACTTCTGTGCCATAAAGATAAGGAGGAAGTGTGAAGGAGCCTTCCAGAACTTTGAGGGGTGTCTTTTTTCCATAAGTCATCTTTCAGATTTGCTTTAACTCTTTTTTGAATAAATGCAGTGTGGGGTGTTCCTGCCCCTTCACACTGTACCAGTTCAGGGTGTTCTAGCTTGTATCTGTGTAGTGCTACTAGAAAAATGTTTTTGTTTTTGTTTATAGATGTTGCTGTTGTTGTTAACCTTTGTAGCAAATAGAGCTGGCCACAGTATTGGGCACTTCTCAAAAAACAATGAGATGACATGTGACTTCTACCTTAATAGCCCTGTTAGGGTGGGTACATATGTTACAAGACATGTAAGGTCACTGTGGGCAACAGTCATTTAGAGCACTACTACTCGGTGTGGTCTCCATCCAGTGGCATGACATCTGGGAGACCATTAGAAATGCAGATTCTCAGTCCAAATGTAGACCTTCTGAATCAGATTCTTCATTTTACCAAGATCTCTGGGTGATTTGTGTGCATACATACCTCCTGTCTAAGAAGCTCTGGTAGCATAGTGTTTACGAATCGGCTGCGAACCTTAAGGCCAGCAGTTTGAAACTACCAGCCGCTCCGCAGGAGAAAGATGAGGCGTTCTGCTCCCGTAAATATTTACAGCCTTGGAAACCCTGTCTAGGGTCGTTATGGGTTGGAACCGACTTGACGGCACTTAACAACAACAACATACCTCCTGTCTAGGAAGCAGAGTTTATTTCCTAGCAGAGTAGTCAGGCATGGTGCCAAGTCAATTATCATCATCAGAATGAGGCCCTGTTCTGGGCACTGAGGACCTGGAAATGGAAGAAAGATGCGGTCCCTTACCCTCAAGGAGCTTGCACACAGCCAGCTGTAAGAACCAGGACAGGACTGGTGTGAAGACAGGAAAGTGGCACAGGCTGCTTTATGGAGAAGGTGGCTCTAAAATAATCTCTGGTGAGAGTAGAAGCATCATTTGTTGTAAGAAAATTCCTTTTACATCTTTAAGGCCTATAGAATTATTCAAATGCTTTGTTCAAGTTCTTTGCTGAAGGTAGCACCTTCAGCTGGATTTCCCCAGCTCTTTGCTCAGCCGCCTGGTGCACGGAGGCCTCTCTGAACCTCAGTTTTCTTCTGAAAAATGGGACAGTTTCTACAACATATAAATTATAGAGGTTATCCATGCTTTAATTTGAGTCACAAAACCACTCCATGAGAGAGGCAGAGTATTGTAAAAGGATGTTTATCATGGAAGTAATTTTCGTTAAAAAAAAGTCTTGTACATTGTTATTGTTGTTAAGTGCCGTCGAGTCGGTTCCGACCTGTAGCGACCCTGCACAGAGTTTCCGAGGGTGTAAATCTTTACGGGAGTAGAAAGCCTCATCTTTCTCCCGCGGAGAGGCTGGTAGTTTCAAACTGCTGACCCTAAGGTTCACAGCCCGATTCGTAACCACTACGCTACCAGAGCTCTAGAATATAACATATAAAAAATATGTGTACTTTACATTTACACTGCATATGATCAAATATATGTATATTCTATTGACAATGTTTTCCTGAAGTGTGAGAAAGACAGAGATAGAAAAGAATTCAACTTTAGTGGAATCCTGGTGATCTGAGGGGAAGGAGTAAGGATGATTTTTTTTCTTCTAATCTCCAGCGCCCTCTGTTGAAGCATTCAGCCAAAAATTATTTAAATCTGCGCTTCTCAATTAATCCACTGGACAGCAGTGTGCTCCTCATACAGTAATGGGAATGTGACTCTCCTAGAGGTTCTACAATGTAGATTCTGATTCTGTGTGTCTGGGGCTGAGCCTAGGATTCTGCAGGAGAGGCCAATGCTGGACAACACTGCATAGCAGTTTGCAAACTACAACAGCTATCAAGGGGTCTGCATTCACCATCAGGTCCTAGCGTCCTTCCAGCTCATAAACCACCTGAACCCATTGTAGGAGGCCACCCATCACCCAAACAAAAGGGCCCAAGGAGCAAACGTTGTTGTTGTTAAGTGCCATGGAGTCTATTGCTACTCATAACGACCCGAGGAGCAGCTGGTGAGCTTGAACCGTGGACCATGTGATTCAAATCAGTTCATTAAATCACACAGGCACACCAGGACTCCACAGAGTAAACACCAGGGCTTTCAAAACATTAGCCTGAACCTAGAACGCCACACCCCTACTCCACCGAAGACTTCTTGGAACCCGAATCGGCCTATCCGCTCTCATCACGTGAGTTTATCGTCACATGATCCCGCCGTCCAATCGTGGCGCGCTCACGACCCTATCTGTGGCAGGAGCCGCTGGCCAGCAAGGCGCTGTCTGCGGACATCATGGCTGGGAGGCCGCTGCCTCCAAGCGGCACTGTGTGCGCGGCCGCCTATCCCGACACCCCTGCCGAATTTCCCCTGCACCTCCAGGCCGGCGCGATGCGGCGCCGCTTCTGGGGCGTGTTCAACTGCCTGTGCGCCGGCGCGTTCGGGGCCTTGGCCGCCGCCTCCGCCAAGCTGGCCTTCGGCAGCGAGGTCGAGCCCGGGGCACTGCTGCTGCGGGCGGGCGGGTAGTCTGGGCGGAGGAGGGGCGCTGCAGGGCCCACGGGGCGCCCGGGATGGAGCGGGGGTAGAGATGCAGGACGCCACCTTACCTCGCCTGCGGGTGCGGCCTAGTCCCTGTCCGGCCGCCGCACTGCTGTCAGCCATGGTGGGAGAGCACCCTTCAACTCTAAATCACATCAAGCCCTTGTCCAATGTAGGCGGTAAGATATGTCAGGGACGGAGGCCTCTTTGTTTAACAGACATAAAATTGTTCGTCCGATTGGGCTAGTGCACTCTTGGGGAAGACATACACACCTACATCCATCCTCAACCTCATTTTAAATCTCGCTACATTGACACTTAAAAAAAGCCTATTACCCATTTCAACTCTAAATTAGCAGGTGTTCTGACTGGTGTGCCCTGCTGGCCTGAAATTTGAGTGTATTGTATACTAGGTGAAAGGGAAGACTGACAAGAACATTCTGGATAGTCTGACAACGGAACTCCAAAACTGCCTCTCTATATCTGCTGAAGTGTCAGCATCTCGTATCTCCCAGCCCCGCTTACTAGAGCTTGGTTGCCTGTGCAACCCTATGCTCTGAACTGGACAGGAGGTGGACTGAAAGCCAGAATGATATCAATTCAAACTTATTTAAGGCTAATCCAGCGAGAGCTATTAAGAGTGGTGGTAGGGTAGGTACGTGGTCCAAAGTAAGATGCGTGACCAAGGGATCCTGCGGTTTTCTAGTCCTATTCAGAAGTCAAACAGGCTTTGGTAACCCTTTATATAAAGGGATTGCACATGCCCATACCATGACTTTATGTAAATTATAAGAGAAGATATTATTTCAACTGCTGGAAAACTAAGAGAAATCTCCTAGAATATGATGTCTAGGTGTCCACATCCTCCAGAGAAAGCAGCCCTGTCTAAACTGGCATCAAGTTGATTAGTAATGACCCCTATGGTTGATGGTTCAAACTCACTAACAGAAACTTGAAAACCCTATACAGAGTCGCAATGAGTTGGAACTGACTCGAAGGCACTTAATAACAATAGGCCTGAGGAGAACTCCCTAAGATGTGTGAGACTAAATCTTGACAGGAGCAAGCAGCCATTTCGTGGTGCAGCTGGTGGATTTTAATATTAGTAGCCCAATGTTCAACCCACTACACAACCAGAACAGCTCAATCTTTGTTGTTCCAACTCACAGCGACCCTGTATAGCGTTTCCAAGGAGCAGCTGGTGAGCTTGAACTTCTAACCTTGCAGTTTAAATTGACCTTGTGGTCCAGTGCTTATCCTACAGTGCCACACCAAGATTCCAAGCTAGGTGCATACAGAACTCTACTGGCAGGTTTCTAACTTGAGACCAAAAAGGGGGTCTACACATTCTTTGTGGAGGGGACTTTTAAAGACCCTCTCTTATCTCAAGGCTCTCTACTTAAGCCAAAAAAAAAAAGGGGGGGGGGGAAGGTTAGAAGTTTTCACAAAGCAACACTGTCTCGGGTGATTTTTCCCATGCCAGGCTGTATGCTGCTGCTGAAGAGTGTGAGGCTCACCGCCTGGCTGTGAATCCTGGGGCTCACACCCGCTGTGACATTTCAGCAAATTACTTAATCTATACGTCAAACATTTTTTAATCTGTAAAATGAAGTTAAGGGATAAAAATGCATTTAAAGTCCTAAAAGCACAGGGCTTGCTGCAGAAATTGCATTGGGACCTGCCTGAATAGGTTGGAACCTAACCAGAGCAGGGAGGTCAGTACTCACACTGCCAATGACTACCAGATACCTGACCTTCTGGGGCTAATCTCCAAGCCTTGGTCACTGGTGTTAAATAGGATGAGTTTGCTTCATCTATAAAATGAGTCTGCTGCCCATTGAGGGGTAAGTGAAGTCCTAAGCAGGAAAGTTCTGAGGCCCTGTAGACTGTGGTGGGCTCTCAGTATGGGCTGGGCTGCTGGCTCTTGGCCCCTCTGTCTCAGCGTGTTGTGAGTGGGGCTGCAGTTCACATTGCCCAGGGTGGACGTGACTTCAGTGATGCTTTCTCCCACAGGTCAACACAGGCTTATGCGTATTAGGCATTGTGGGAATGGCATTCACCAATTCTCTGATGTGGACGTTCTTTAGCCGGGGCCTGAGTTTCTCTATGTCTTCGGCCATTGCATCTGTCACAGTGACTTTTTCAAACATCCTCAGCTCGGTGAGTAGCCTGTCCCAAACCTGGGCTCTGGGAGGTAAAGCTTGTCACTCGGTCTGGGTGAGTTGTCCTTGGAAAACTGCTTTCCTAGAAGGAGTGAGGACAGGAACTGAAGGCAGAAACTTGGATGTGACTTGATTTCTGTGCAGTAGGCCAGCCAGAGCCTTCAGATCAACAAGCCACCTATTGGTAGTGAAATGTGGCCTGAGACTTCTTTGCAGGGCATCCATGGGCCAGTCTAGGTAGTCTTCTTCCATCCTGCCCTCTCCCTTCGCTAGATCCCTTGCTGATTCTGCTCCATAACCTATCTTAAAAACAGATCCATATACTCCAGAGGGTTTGGGTGAACTCCAAATGAATTATTCATTCCAGACCACAGAGAAGGATCCAGTGAATCCCAGGCTGCTGACAGACTAGGACTGGACAGATACCTGAGGCCTGAGCCACACCTATTGTGTTAGAATCTCCAAGCTGTGGAGTCTAGGGCTCTGGGTTCCCAGCCCCTCTAGTGATAGTGATGTACAGCCAGCCTGGGGAGCACCTCTCTGTGACCTCTCGATAGATCCATTTTGAGGTTTAACTGAAGGATTGGGATATGTGCTCAAGTACATGACACGTGGATGTTCTCATGGACACAAAGTTAAGACCTCACTGACTCAAGCTCCTGAGACAGTTGTCTCCATTAACTTGGCCTGAAGTTCCAGTGTGTCTGGGTTTTTGCTAGAAAGTTTTTTCAACTGCAGTCAGTAACCATTTCTGGTAGTGCTAGAACCATTTTAGTTTTCTAGCAATAAAGCTTCCTGCACATATTTTTTAAGGAGCCCAAGCATAGTGGTTACAAATTAGACTGCTAACCTCAGGGTCAGCAGTTCGAAACTACCAGCTATTCCATGGGAGAAAGATGAGGCTTTCTGCTCCCGTAAAGATTTACAGCCTCGGAAACCCTGTACAAGGTCACTGTGCATCAGAACTGACTCCATGGCACATAACAACAATGACAGTGATGGTTTGGCACTATGGGTTAATGTGTCAGACTACAGAGTTGTTTGAACTGCAAGGTTGGTGGTTCAAGGTCACCAGCTGCTTCTTGGAAACCCTATACAGGGTCGCTCTGGGTTGGATTGGATTCAAGGCACTAAACAAAATGATAAAATGGGTAAAGTGCTGAGCTGCTAACCTCAAGGCTGGTGAGGGAACCCCACCATGCACTTCTGTTCTGGAGCTCTCATGAAGATCTACAGTCTCCAGAACCCTAGGGAGCAGCTCTCTGGCCTGTAGGGTCGCTGTGAATCGGAACTGACTCGATGGCAGTGGCTCTTGGTTTTGTTTAGACCGGCCTCCTTGTAGGGCTGTTGCAGCCAGCTCTGGTGGTTTCTGGATGGAGAAGTTGAGGTGACTGACTTTCCCTGGCTTTTCGTCTCATTTCCCCAACAGCAGTGTCCACTCAGTGGAAGGCCATGAACCTATTTCTAATGGCCCTGAGTCAAGTCAGGGATAGAGAGCACCGACACAAGCTGGCAGAGAACTGTTTTGAGATGTTCCTCAGTTAGAATGTAGAGACAAGGTCCAGGTGGTTTGGCCAACCCTCTTCATCCTTGATGATGGAAACAACTGGGGGACACCTAGCAGAGCACTAAATTGGCATCAGAACTGCCTTGAGTTTGGGATGATGGTGGGGTGGGATGGTGGTGGTGCGTCTTAAGCTTAATACATCCATATTCATCTAGGGATTGACAAGCTACCCACTTCCCTGGCAGAATTATGGTTCTCAGATGTGAGGCTGGACACATGAGAGCCCTCTGAGACTCCCTTAGCTTCTAAGCTGCATTCCTCACCTGTTGGTTGAGTCTGGTGCGCACAGACTCCATGCAATGAGTGTGGCTCTTTAAAAATATGCTGCAAGCCTGAGTCCCATGCTGGAGTGATACCCCATGACCCCTGACTGCCAGCCTGTCACATGTCACCTCATTAACAAGAAGGAATACTCACATTAGATGTGAAGGAAGCCTACTGTGCAAAGCTGACCAGTTGCTGTCCCTCATTGTGAAATCCATGTCCTGTCCGCCTGTCTGAAGTCAGGCTTCGCTGAGACCCTTCTACCTTCTGGGAGCCTGAGGCCACCAAGACACTGCAGGCTGCCCCTGGCTGGAGCTGAGCCCAGCTAACTGTGGAGCTGAGGGAGGGAGAACTCAGGAGTCAGGCCCCACTGTGCTGGGCCTGCTGTCTGCTCAATGCTGAATCTCTCTCATGGACCTTGTTGAGGTCCAGTCTAATGAGGAAGGTAGTGTTCCTCTGCAGGTAAGGTTGGAATGACTAGAGGGACCTTCCTGAAGGTACTTCTGGGTTTCAAGCCCAGAACTTCTGGTGCCTTTTCTCTAGGCCTGTCAGAACAATGATGAGGTCCACCACTATGCCCCATAGGAATGAGGTCCACCATTAGACCCCAAAGGAGCAAGGTACAGCTCCGGGTTGTGAGGTTGGACCCACACTGGTCATGGTCAAGTCCTTCAGTCATGTCTACCCTACCTCATCACTGTGTCTCTCCTCCAGGCTTTCCTGGGCTTCGTGCTGTACGGAGAGTGCCAGGAGGTTTTGTGGTGGGGAGGCGTGTTCCTCATCCTCTGCGGACTCACCCTGATCCACAGAAAACTCCCACCCACATGGAAGGCCCTTCCACAGAAACAGCAGTAACACTGCTGGCTGATGGACCAGCTGGAAAGATAACAGGTCGGCCAGGGCTCAGCCAGAGGGTGGACCCAGGCTGGACAGACCTTGGGGCAGCCCTGCTCCCAGGAGAAGCAGGCCTTGGAGAGGTCTTCAGACATGAAGCTCCGGCTTCTGTAAGGGGAGACATAATGCAGAAGTGTCCTGACTGATGCTTTCTTGGTGTATCTGTACAGTGCTTTTGTTCCTCATGCCCCCAGGCCACCCCAGGCAGCCTCTTCTGCGACTAAGTCTCGGTAGATGCCAGAGCCCAGGGGTGGGTCTGCTCTTTGGGTGGTACCTGAAGCCAAACTGTGATTGTAGTCGTGTCGCTTGACCAAGACCAGTCACACTAGGATCAGTGACTGGCGGGTTTGCTGACACCTTCATGCTTCTGTGCCAGGCCCTCTGTGTCATGCTCATGTATTGTGGCCCAGGAAGGAAAATGATTAATAAATATTTTTCTTAAAGTTAAAACTATTGGGTATGGAATCTTCATTTCTCCCACGCTGTGGAGTAAGCAGAAGCAGCCAGGTGAACTGACATTCCCAGAGAGGAGGGGATGGGCTCATGGGCAGGTTCAGAGGCACTGGCCCCACGACTCGCTCCCTCTGGTGTGTTTCTTCCTGTGCTCACATGGTGGAAGCTCTTTCAATGCCAGCCATTCCCTTGGCTCTCCATGAGAAAAGTGTGACCACTTTGGGGGCTTTGTTTAACTGTATTTTACTTGTTAGGAAGGAAAGTGGCCTGGAAGTTTGTCCAGCAGCAAGCCCTGTGTGGGCATGGAATTCCTAGTTCAAACTGTCTGAACTGCCTGTATGCTTATCCAGTGTAGCTTACAGCCTGGATCTCCCCCACTTCTCCCCAGGAACCCCCCTGGGTGCCCAGAGGGCCCTTTCAGCTCTTGTGCACTTGGCTGGTCTGGTCCCAGTCAGGCTTCCCTGTGGGTGAGATAACTGACTGTAGAGGTTGAGAGAGACAGTCTTCTCTAGGCACAGCCACCTAATAAGGCCTTCACAGTTCTCCTCCTTTGTAATGGGCATCTGCCCTGAGTCCATCACTCCCACAGCAGTAAGGTAAGGAAGCTGAGGCTGAATTGAGTCATGAGTATCTGACTCCAGGGCTCAGCGCTTAACCCCTACACCAAGAAGCTCAACAAACCCCAGGAAGGATATACCCCAAAAGAAAATCACAACACATATAATAATCAAGCTCTCCAAAATCAAAGATAAGGACCGAATCATGAAAGCAGCTACGGAAAAGAAAAGTGTTACATACAAAGGGAAGCAAATCAGATTAAGCTCAGATCTCTCAGCAGAAATCATGCAGGCAAGAAGGCAATGGGGAGACATACATAAAACCCTGAAAGAAAAAAAACCTACCAACCAAGAAGCCTCTTCCCAACAAAGCTGTCAATCAAATACAATGATATAATCAAAACATTCTAGGATAAACAGAGCTAAGGGATTTTGCCAAAGCCAACCCTATACTGCAAAACATCCTAAAGGGAGTTCTGTGGATTGAGAACCAACAAGAACAGACAATAACCAGAGATTGACATATGTGGTATAGCAGTAACTCCCCAGAACTCAACTGACAAATGGAGGAGTCGAGAATAGAACAATACTATAAGAACAAATTCAGAGGATCTGGGAGGTCAGTCTATGATCAAAACAATTACAATGTAAAAGAAGGTAGACACATAGGAATAGAGATCCAGATGGTTACAAGGTCAGGTAGACTACAGCATAAAATAGACTACTTTAAATGGAGGGGAAAGTTAATAAAATATCAGGTAATCTCAAAGAAAATTAATACTTCACAACATACCAAGAAAATGAAAATCCAAGAATATGGAAACATTAAAACTGAAGAAACTGACAAGAGAGAACACTGTTGCAGACCGTGAAGGCCTGGTCAGAGGTCTGAGGCCCTATAGGCCCCAGTGTAACAGATCTAGCCACCTGGCAGTTTAATAACAAATTATTTTTCATCTTAGTGTCCAGTTATGTTTTATTCATTGCAAACATGAAGCCCTTGATATCCACAAATAAATGTAATATTTTCCTAAAAGCCAAGACTGTAAAATACCAAACAGGCAAAGTTTTTCCCTCAGAGATTTCATTCAAGGTAAATTGGGTGGCTCCCCGGTCTCTGTTCTAAGGACAATAGGAATGCCCTCCCGAAAGTGTTTCTAGGTGCTGCCTATTCACCCAGGTGTCTCTTTTCCTGAAGAACCTGGGCTGGGCAGCTGACACAATGGGAATCCTCCCAATCCTCCCTTTCCTTCCTCCATTTGAGGCTAGGTGCTAAAAGGTATGTTAATTAAGCTTGAGAAACCAAGTTGCAGTCGTGAGATTCGAACCTGCAAAGTATGATGTAAAGTTGCCTGAATGTCTGGAAAAGTAAGATTGACAGTTGTACCTTGTCTTAGCCCCTCCTAACATTGTGTATAGTTCCTCCCCTAAATAAAAGGAGGCACAGAACGAATCCAGGTGCTTTTCTGCTGGCATTGCAGGCAGTGCAGGCACTGCGTGCATTACAACTGGCAAGGCGTGTGTTACAGCATGCAGGGGCCCAGTCCAGCCTTGCAACCATACTGCCTGTTTAGCTAAGATGTTTACTATGCAATATTATGGCCTTCATGGCTGAGAAGTTTGCAACGCAGGATCTGCCTGATGCCAGTCCAGCATTCACTCTGGTTTCGGAGTGTCTCTTTGTCTCTCTCTTTGCGTCTCTGTGTGTCTTTTGCTATCTCTATCGCCGCCAGGTATCTCCTCGTGAACTGAACCCCTATGTCGAGGCAAGTCCCCGACAGAACACAAAAAATATTAATTCAGCACAGGAAGACATGCAGAACAAAGAAACCAGTAGCACCAAAAAACACAAACATAATGACAGAAATAAATCCATACCTATCAAAAATTACACTGAATGTAAAAGGATTAAATGAACTAGTTAAGAGATGGAGAGTGGCAGAATGGATAAGAAAACAAGATCCTTCAATACGCTGCCTGCAAGAGACACACTTTACACACAAGTAAAAAGGCAGACTAAAAGTCAAAGGATGGAAAAAATGTATACCAACCTAATTGCAATAAAAAATGAGCAGGAGTTGCAACACTAATCTTTGATAAAATAAAACTTTAAGGCAAAACCCAGCATAATAAGGTAAAGATGGGCATTATCTCATGATTAAAGGGTCAACTGAACAAGATGACATAACCATAACAAATATCTCTGCTCCCAAAGAGCTCCAAAATATATAAAGCAATCACTAATAAATTTGAAGAAAGAAATATATATAGTGGGTGATTTTAACATACCACTTTCGAAAAAGTATAGAACAACCAAAAAGAAACTTGACAAAGACACAGAGGAACTCAACAACACAATCAGCTAACTGGACCTCATAGATGTGTACAGAGTGTTCAACCCAACAATAGCACAATACACATTCTTTTCCAGTGCACATGGAACATTCTCCAGAATAGACTATGTGTTAGGCCACAAAACAAAAATTTACAATCAAAATACTACAAAGCATCTTCTCACACCACAATGCTATACTATTAGAAATCAAAAAAACAAACAAACAATAGGAAGGATCAAGGAAATTAAAGTCAAATACATGGAAACTGAGTAACACCCTGCTGAAAAGCGACTGGGTAACAGAATAAATAAAAAATGAATTTGCAAAGTTCTTAGAAACAATTGAGAACCAAAACACAACATACCATAATCTTTGGGACATGACAAAAGCATTGCTGAGAGAACAATTTATTGCAATAAATGCACACATCTAAAAAGAAGAAAGAACCCAAATCAACACATCTCCAACAACTAGAAACAGACCAGCAAAGTAAAACTACAGTCAACAGAAGAAGGAAGTAATAAAGATTAGAGAAGAAATAAATGAGACAGAAATCAGAAAAACTATAGAAAGAATCAACAGGACAGTCATCTAAGTAGCAACTACTGGTCTTTCAATGTGAGGAATGAAAAAGCATGGTGAAAACTGAAGATGCTTGGAATCAACTAGTTCAATGGACCAATGGAGGAGGTAAACATCAATCATCTCAACTCTGAGACCAGAAGAACTAGATGGTGCCTGGTTACACTACCAACTGCTCTGAAGGGAATCACATTAGAAGATCCCAGATAGCGTGGGAGGAAAATGTGAAACAAAACCCAAAACTTTTTTTAAAGATTGGGCTTACTGTTCATAAAGAAGACTGGAGGAAGCAGAGACGATGGCTCTCCATCACCCTTCAAGTCTAGAAGAGAATTCATCCTCTGGCCAACATTAGATAGGAATATAGAAAGGACAACAGCACTGGTAAGGTATGCTCACCATGGAATGGTTAGTCATTAGAGATCAAAAGGACAAGATTTACCTAAGGACAAACTTGAGAAGTGATGGGAAGCAGGGTGGAATGGAAATAGGAACCCTGGAAGGAAGAGAGATAACTGTTGTTGCATGGAGGACATTGCAATCATTGAGATGAAACAAAGTGTATGATTTGTTGAATTTAAAAACTGATGATCTTCTCCATAAAAAAAAAAAAAAAAA